AAAGTGTCTCCACTGGAACTGGTGCGACTGGACTCTCAAGTTGCGCAACTTTGTGCGAAGGCATAACCAAGAAATTATCAACATGTGTCTCGGCATTTGCTTCGGGCAGCAGTGTCGATGATACCCAAGATGTCAGCAGGGCACAGTGGGTAGATTTGGAATGGTTGATGGTGCCGCAACCTACTCAAGACTGCGTCCTATGTCCATTTTATAGAGGGAATGCTCGACACGTTTTGAACACAACCCTATAGATTTTCCCGAGCCTAGCTCTCAGTGGCAACTCATTCCTGACCATCGATTTTCAGGGACGGCAAAATTTCTGCCTTGACTTCACAGTTAGGTTCAGTGCATCCTTGAAACTTGACATAGGCGGAAATGACACAAACGGAACCAAAACTATTTTGCAGAGTCCATCGAAATCGACTCCTTCAAGATCGGGAGTTGCCTGGAGTTGTCCACGTCAGGGGTTCGCGGTCAATTTCAGAATTTAAACGATTTGCCTATGTTAGATGCAATTTTGAAGTGCGAAACAAGGGTGGCAGCATTTTGGAAGAAGCACCTAGGCAGCATTGTTTCAGATGAGGAATTTCCTTCCTTGAGATGCTTCGACCAGATTTGCGTTTGAGTCCCATGGATTTAGTGCTTGGCATTGCAAGGATTTTGTCGAAACCTAGCACGTCGAGAGGGCAACCCATGCCTCACCAGAAAATGTCAGGGACAGCAAGGATTCGACCATAGACTTCCGATTTGGTGCACAGGTTTGAGCCTTGATGCAGGAAGAAAGGATACATTCCAGGATATATTTCACACCGTTCAGTCTTTTGGCCACGGAATCGCGTGATGCCTCCGCACAGTGTTCTTCTAGCGATGAAAGGCAACTGAGCCGCTCTAAAAACCTCCCTTTACATGTTTAGTAAGGGCCTTGTCATAACGCGTTTGGCGTAAGCAAAACCCTCGCTTGCGTAAGACCGCGTAAGGACTTCGCGTAAGGGCGTCCTAAATTTGTTCCGCGTAAGGAAAAAACCCATGCGCGTAAGCATGGCGTAAGCTCTGGTGTACCCAAAATGATACGACATAGCCAGTGACTTAAGGTTTTTAGATTGGCTCAACTGTGAAGCCGGAGCATGAGACAGTGATGCTGGTGTAGCCACTAAACAAGTGCAAGTTGCACCAACGCCTCTTTTAAGCATATATACCTGACCACAGGTGTTTCCCTTGAAGTGATTTTTCCGTCCTGACCAGGTCGTGCTCTTCTGGCAGTTTAATGCACCATTTCAGAAGACAGCTGGTAACACATGTAGCCTGAAACGTGCTACGAGCGCAATTCCTCCATTGGATGTAGACAAAAGATATTCACTGCCATGTAGGAACCCTACATACATTCCATTTTGCAAAGGACAACGTCTAAACTCATCCAGATTTGTTTGTTGGGCCTCTACATCAACACAGTCAACATGGAATGTGGACACTCTCTTTCCATTTAGGGCCTTGCCATTTTCTTTGCCTGCAACATGCGATTTGCATAGGTTGCCATGGCGTGGAAGATTTGTTGAGCATATAGTTGAATCCAAGTAAGTGATTAGATAAGAGAGGATGATCTTAGCAGCGGAACTTGCGACAGCTCGCAGGGGGAGTGACAATTCAAGAACGAAACGTTTGCGCAAATTGAGATGACAGGTTTGCAGTCTTGAAAAGACATATCCCAACATTGGCCAGGTGCAAGTACGGCTGGTGCTTGAAACAAGGCCCATCCAGGGAAGTCTCAGGCTACAAAGGTCACCCAGATGCTCTGAAGAACTTCACACAACACAGTCACCATGGAAGAATGACAACAATGTTTTCTTACTTGTAGCTGTACCTCTTTCGAGGAATCCTGCGTTGGTGTCGAGTTCAGTTGAGTTCTTTCAATCAATATACCTGATAGGATCGTCTTCGCAGTAGCTTGGACCTGCAAGATCTCGCCAGAGGCTCTTTCCAGTCACAAATCCGGAAAGAAAAAAGTGCACCAATTGAGATGAGCGCCTTTGCTTTGCCTCGAGCAAGTTTTTGCCGTTGGTTGGCTTCAACCATGTCATTTGAAGCACACCGCACCAGGAAGGTTGAAGTAGCAAAATGCTGCGCCAGGCGGCAATGTTCGTTCCGAGGACTGGTGGAAATTCTGTTCGCTGCTGGACCCCTTCCGATGAATCCTGCAAAATGGGAGTTGCATGTGGTTGCCATGAATTTGAGTATCTTCGCAGCTGCCGGGACCTGCCAAAACCCGGCAGAAGCTCTTGCCAGAGGGGGCAGCTCAGGAATCAACAAATATTCAAAGTGAGACGATTTGTTCGCAGTCTTTGCTAGACTTTTGGTTGACTTTGGTTGAGCGCAGCGATGTGAGTATCCGACTAAATGTATGGAAGATCAACTATTAATAAAAGGGCCTTGAATGTTCTGAAGCATGCAGACTTACCAATACCTCCAAAAACCCTGAGACACCAATACCTCAAATGGGTGATACAAAAGGATCAAAATCGATAAGGGAGAAACCCGATTTTGTGAGAAGCATGATAAGCATGAAGGGAAGCAACAAGGTTTTACCGTTGCTCATGTGTTGTTTGACCTTGAAGCAAACCGAGCCTCAAGTCGCAACGTGTTGCACCGGGTAGCAAAGGTTTCCCCGACAAACAGCGAGGAATCACAGCAACAGAGTCACCATGGAAGAATGTGGACAATGTCTTTCTTAGTCTTGGCCTTGCCATTCTCTTTTCCTTCAAAATGTGAGTTGCACGGGTTGCCGTGAGCTTGTGTGGGAGAGGGGTTGAGTAAAAAAATGAGTCCTTATGTTAGCAGTCTGGACAGAAGGCTGCATCACATGCCAGGAATTCTTGAATGAAACGTCTGCAGAGATTGAAATGATTGTCTCACAGTGGTGAGCGTCCCACGAAGCATTCCGCATGCCATGGTGCGGCTTCGGCAGCGTCAAAAGATGGGGGAATTTTCAAAGACCTAAGGCTATATTGACATAGAACTCAGCACCATCGCGAAAGAATATGAAGAATGTTATGTCAGTTTCGGCTTTGCCATTATCTTTGCGTTCATCATTCGAGGTGTGTGGGGTTGCCATGAGTTTGTGTGGGAGATGCGTGGAGCATAGTCGAGGCCAATCAACTAGGATCATCTTAGCAGCAACTTGGACTTGCAAAAGCTTGCCAGAGGCTGCAAGGAGTGACAGCTGAGGAAATGAACACCTTTGGGCAAATTGATTGACCAGGAAGCTTCAGGTGGTTTTTCAGGTTCCCCCACCAAGATGGAGGAATCTCACAGCAACCTAGTCACTACGGAAGATTGTAGACACTGTCTTTTCACTTGTCGCTGTATCCTTTTCGATCAATCCTGCAACATGGGAGTTGCAAGGGGTTGCCTTGAGTTTTTGTAGGGGCAGATGTCAAGCATAGTCTTGCCTTGAAAAAACAACTATCCAGACGTGTGTTGAGCGCAACCATGTGAGGCTAGCACATGAAGCACACCGCCCCAGGAAACTTCAGGTTGGAATTTGTTGCGCCCCTCAAAAGAGATGGACCAGGAGGGATCTGCAAACAAAACGCGAGTCTGAAGTTCAGTCTGAAGAACTTAGGACAGAGTGTCTTTTCCAGATTTGGCCTTGCAATTGTTTTTACCTTCAACATGTGGGTTGCACTTCAAGTGAGGTTGGCCCGTGAGGTTGACCCGTGAGGTTGTGTGGGAGAGGTGTCGCGAATACTTGAGTCCTTGAAAGCAATAGGATTATCTTAGTAGAAGTTTGGACCTGCGAAAGCCCGCCAAAGGCTTTTGCCAGGAAAAACAGCTCAAGGATTGAACCAAGACACGGATTTGGGATGATTGTTTTGCGGTCTTAAAAGACCTATGCGTACGTTGGTTGAGCGCCATGCGAGGCTGGCACTTGACACATACCGTCCCAGCAAGCTTCAGCTAGCAAAGTGTTGCGCCGGGCAGCAAAGGTTCCCCCACAAACGTGGAGGAATCTCCAAAGAAAATGCAAGTCTGAAGAATTCAACACAGCAACACAGTTACACCAGTTACCGTGGAAGAAAGTGGACGATGTCTTTTTCAGTTTCGGCCTTGCCATTGATTCTGCCGTCAAAAAACGAGTTGCATGGGGTTGCCATGACTTTGTGTTGGAGATTTGTTAGGCATGCATAGTTGAATCCATTTAGTGACAAGTCAAGAATGAAACGTATGCGCAAATTGAGATGAATGGTTTGCAGTCTTGAAAAGGACTTCAATCTCGACGTTGGTTAAGCGAGACCAGGTGAGGCTAGCGGCTAGCGTTTCAAGTCCCAGGAAGTTCCTGTAGCAAAGTGCTGCGTCAGGCAGCAAAGGTCAGCCAAAAGAGATGGAAGAATATCCAAAAATGCAAGTCTGAAGAACTCAACACAGCAACACCGCCGCCATGAACACTGCTTTTTCACTTGTAGCCTTCCAGTTTCGATGAGTCCTGCAACATGGGAGTTACATGATTAGCATGAGTTTGTGTGTGGGAGATCTGTTAAGTATATGTAGAATCCATGTAAGCGGTTCGATAAGACGGAATGGTCTTAGCAGCAGCTGGAACCGCTAACTCTCGCCAGAGGCTCTTGTGAGATGATTTCTTTGCAGTCCGGCGAAGCGTTCCTTTGGCAAAAAGTTTTGCCAGGCAGCAAAGGATCGCCCAAAAAGATGAAGGAATCTCCAAAGAAAATGCAAGTCTGAAGAACTCAACACAGCAAAACAGTCACCACGGAAGAATGTCTTTTCCAGATTTGGCCTTGCCATTGTTTTTACCTTCAACATGTGAGTTGCACTTCAAGTGAGGTTGGCCCGTGAGGTTGTGTGGGAGAGGTGTCGCGAATACTTGAGTCCTTGAAAGCAATAGGATTATCTTAGTAGAAGTTTGGACCTGCGAAAGCCCGCCAGATGCTTTTGCCAGGAGTAACAGCTCAAGGATGAAATCAAGGCACCGATTGGGATGATTGTTTTGCGGTCTTAAAAAGACCTATGCATACGTTGGTTGAGCGCCATGCGAGGCTGGCACTTGACACATACCGTCCCAGCAAGCTTCAGCTAGCAAAGTGTTGCGCCGGGCAGCAAAGGCTCCCCCCACAAACGTGGAGGAATCTCTAAAGAAAATGCAAGTCTGAAAAATTCAACACAGCAACACAGTTACACCAGTTACCGTGGAAGAAAGTGGACGATGTCTTTTTCAGTTTTGGCCTTGCCATTGATTCGGCCGTCAAACAACGAGTTGCATGGGGTTGCCATGACCTTGCGTTAGAGATTTGTTAAGCATGCATGGTTGAATCCATGAAAACAATTCAATGAGAAGGGCTGATCTTTGCAGCAGCTGGCGCCCGCGAAAGCTCGCAGGAGGCTCTTGCCAGAGTGACAAGTCAAGAATAAATCGTATGTGCAAATTGAGATGAATGGTTTGCAGTCTTGAAAAGGACTTCAATCTCGACGTTGGTCAAGCGAGACCATGTGAGTTTAAGTTCCTGTAGCAAAGTGTTGTGCCAGGCAGCAATGGTCACCCACAAGGCTCTTGCCAGGAATAACAGCTCAAGGATTGAACCAAGGCACAGATTTGGGATGATTGTTTTGCGGTCTTGAAAAGACCTCTGCATACGTTGGTTGAGCGCCATGCGAGGCTGGCACTTGACACATACCGTCCCAGCAAGCTTCAGCTAGCAAAGTGTTGCGCCGGGCAGCAAAGGTTCCCCCCACAAGTGCGGAGGAATCTCTAAAGAAAATGCAAGTCTGAAGATCTCAACACAGCAACACAGTTACACCAGTTACCGTGGAAGAAAGTGGACGATGTCTTTTTCAGTTTTGGCCTTGCCATTGATTCGGCCGTCAAAAAACGAGTTGCATGGGGTTGCCATGACTTTGCGTTAGAGACTAGAGATTTGTGAAGCATGCATGGTTGAATCCATGAAAACAATTCAATGAGAAGGGCTGATCTTTGCAGCAGCTGGCGCCCGCGAAAGCTCGCAGGAGGCTCTTGCCAGAGTGACAAGTCAAGAATAAATCGTATGTGCAAATTGAGATGAATGGTTTGCAGTCTTGAAAAGGACTTCAATCTCGACGTTGGTCAAGCGAGACCATGTGAGTTTAAGTTCCTGTAGCAAAGTGTGCCAGGCAGCAATGGTCACCCACAAGGCTCTTGCCAGGAATAACAGCTCAAGGATTGAACCAAGGCACAGATTTGGGATGATTGTTTTGCGGTCTTGAAAAATACCTATGCATACGTCGGTTGAGCGCCATACGAGGCTGGCACTTGACACATACCGTCCCAGCAAGCTTCAGCTAGCAAAGTGCTGGGCCAGGCAGCAAAGGTTGCCCCCACAAACATGTAGGAATCTCTAAAGAAAATGCAAGTCTGAAGAACTCAGCACCGCAGCACAGCCACCATGAAAGAATGTGGACAATGACATCAGGTTTCAAACTGTGAGTTCTTTGGAGTTGCCGTTGAGTTTCTGTGTTAATCAATGTTGGATCGATAGTGCCATCATCTTTGCATCTGGCTTTAACGGCCAGAGGACTTGATGTTGAAACCTTGGTGGAGTCTCCCAGCATAGCCGGCAGATGACCGGTCGCAGCGGGGAGCGAAGAGATGCCATGTGCGCAGAGACAGGTAGCCGAAGGTTCAGGTAGCTCAGTGGTTCATCCAGCATTTTTTTTCGACAAGGACTGAGGAGCTGCAAGGATCCAAGAGACTGCAAGGAGCTGCGTGACTGAAGAATTTCTAAGCTGAAGAATTCAACGCGCCCATTTTCAGGACCGAAGACTGGAATTGAACAGTCCCTTTCTGTTTTGGCTTTCCAGCTGTGAAGGCATGCCTCCTTCAACATGGAAGTTGGCACGATGAGTTTCCACAGCTTTGTCTGCTCATGGCTTGAGCATCGTGTCACCTCGACCACCTTGGGCAGTTGCAATCGATTTAACTGACAGCTCGGGAAAACACCGGCAACTACGACAGATTGGATGGTTGAAATGTGCCACAGTGTGCCTAAAACTGGGCATTTCCAGGATCAGAAGCTAGGTTCCCTGGGGAGGTATCAGCTGCATGCTATCGTCGTGGTATTGGACGAAAATGGTCTTTAGCCTGCTCAGAAGCGACCCCTCGGCACTTCCACCTGTGTGAAGACTTGATTGGAAGATGGAAGTGCTGGTGTGAGGGACAGCAATGTGAGCGTAGAGTTTGGCTGCCCACGGCAGGGTCCATCGGACGCTTTCAGTTGCAACCCCTTGCAAAACTCTGGTCCCTTGGCTATGTCCTCAAGCAGTCGAGACTGGTCAAAACATGTTTTTCGCCGTGAATAGGTTGAAGCGAGCGCCTGATCTTCAGAACGAAAGGGGCTGTTGACGTGACTTTTGACTTTCAGAACGAAAGGGACTTTGACCACGGCCTGTTTTGAGCTTCCTGGGTTGACGTGATTGTTTTAGTAACGATGTCGTTTTGAAGGGAACTCCGCAGGATCCTAGTCTCGCAGCAAAGGTACGGCTTTGGGATCCAGTTTCCCTTTGCTTATATGACCATTTATAGTGGATTTTCCCATTCAAAATGGTCATTTCCCATAGTTATGTTAGTTTACCAGAGGGTATATGAGCACTCCCATACTGTCCGTTGTTTTTGCCAGTCAGCAAACCTGCTTTGGAGGTGTTCAGGGCACTGCCAGGTAGACCAGGATCAAGCATGATTCAGCATCTGAAGTGTCCAGTCCAAAAGCAAAGCAACCGTTGTCGGACACTGGATTTACAAGCCGGTCCAACGCAGGTTATGTAAAGACATGCAGATTATGTAGTTGATGTGAGTGTTTCAACTCTACAGCTGTCCCAAAAAAAGTGGCTCCCGAAAAATGCGGTTGTCCAATGAGGTGTCAGCTGCGTGCTGTTGTCGAAGCTTTGGACGAAACTGTTCGTGACATATGCGTCCGATAAAACTTGCAGGGATGATACTGGAAGATCAAACATGTAAGGAGTGGCCTTTGATGTTCTGAAACATGCAGAGGCAACAGGGGGCCAACCCCAAATCGATAACCCCAAAATTCAAAAAAACTAAACCCACACCTGGAATGGAACCCACAAATGCCACAAGACTGATAGGGGCCAAGCCAATTTCAGGATGACCATTGCCGGAGACAACATTTGGCCGCTACTCACATGCTTGTAGCCTGCTCAGGAGTCACAGGACCTCTGAAAAGCCACACCTCAGCAGTTCAACCTGTGTGAAGGCTTGGTTGAAGGATGGAAGGACAGATGTGTGAAGGAATGCAAGGGAGTCTTAGACTTTGGCCACTCATGGCATTGTCGTTCGGACTTTTCCAGTTGCAAACCTTTCAACATCTCTAACCGTGGGCAATGTCCTCGAGCAGCCGAGACTGGTCACAACTTAATTCTCCCAGGGTTTTTACACATGTTGAGATATTTCCCAATTGGGTTGAAACTAATGTCTTTCGCCTTGTGGATTTTCCATTGTTATGTCCGTTGATACAAACTTTCTACAGTAAAACCACTCCTGCAGCGACAACACATTGCACAGACGCCCTTGCAGTGTATGCCGTTTGGACAACCAAGAAAAACCATACTCGCTTGAACATTTCAACCTGTGTGAAGACTTGATTGGAAGATGGAAGGGCTGGTGTGAGGGACGGCAAGGTGAGCTTAGAGTTTTGCGACCCACGGCAGGATCCATTGTACTCTTTCAGTCGCAGCCCTTTGCAAGACTCTGTTGCATTAGCAATGTCCTCAAGTAGTCGAGTCTGGTCAAAACATGTGTTTCGCCTTGAATAGGTTGAAGCGAACACCTGATCTTCAGAACGCAAGGGGCGTCCAATGCGGCAGTTTTAAACTATGTGGAAGGTTACCCCAAGCAAACTAACATGCATAGCAATGGAAACTCAATAATAAATGTTGTTGCCAATCATGGATTTTCCACTGCCATGTTCGTTTACCAGGTAGACCAAGTGAGCTATATTTACAGCAATGTTTGGAAGGTTCCGCGGAGGAACCTTTTGCAGCAACACCACTCCCTCAGCACCTTTGCTTTGCACAGGTGCCCTGGACAAAGAAAAGTACCCTGGCCTCAGCAGTTCAACGTGTGTGAAGACTTGATTGAAGGATGGAAGGACAGATCTGTCAAGGAATGCAAGGGAATCTTGGACTTTGGCCGCTCATGGCAGGGTCCATCGGACTTTTTCAGTTGCAACCCTTTCAACATCTCTAGCCGTGGGCAATGTCCTCGAGCAGCCGAGGCTGGTCACAACTTAATTCTCCCAGGGTTTTTACACATGTTGAGATATTTCCCAATTGGGTTGAAACTAATGACTTTCGCCTGGTGGATTTTCCATTGTTATGTCCGTTGATACAAACTTTCTACAGTAAAACCACTCCTGCAGCGACAACACATTGCACAGACGCCCTTGCAGTGTATGCCGTTTGGACAACCAAGAAAAACCATACTCGCTTGAACATTTCAACCTGTGTGAAGACTTGATTGGAAGATGGAAGGGCTGGTGTGAGGGACAGCAAGGTGAGCTTAGAGTTGTGCGACCCACGGCAGGATCCATTGTACTCTTTCAGTCGCAACCCTTTGCAAAACTCTGCTGCACTGGCAATGCCCTCAAGCAGTCCAGGCTGTAATCAAACATTCAACAGAAAATCCAAATGCATGAAAGTACCAGTAAAATCATCTACAATTTGTGGATTTTCCCTGACCATGTTACTTTACCAGAGGGTCTTCCGTATGTAAAGACATTGTTTGGAAGACATTTCCAAGAAACGGTTCCGTGAAGGAACCTCTTGCAGCAACACCACTCCCGCAGCGCCTATGCTTTGCACAGGTGCTTTGCCAGTGTATGAGCCCTGGAAGGGCTGGTGTGAGGGACAGCAAGGTGAGCTTAGAGTTTTGCGACCCACGGCAGGATCCAATGCACTCTTTCAGTCGCAAGCGCCCTCATGATGTTCGCCTTGAATAGGTTGAAGCGAACACCTGATCTTCAGAACGCAAGGGGCGTCCAATGCGGCAGTTTTAAACTATGTGGAAGGTTACCCCCAAGCAAACTAACATAGCAATCAGCAATTCACCTGCCCATTCATATAAGATCATGTGCAGTTCAAAGAATTTCTCATGCGATGTTCGTCTATCAGAGGCTCCTGGGCAAAGTATTTTTTTTGTCATTTTTTGACCGCATTTCCAAAAGAAACAGGTTCTGCAGAGGAACCTTTTGCAGCAATACTACTCCCGCAGCAGTGTATGAGCCGTGGACGAAGTAGAAAACTACCCTGGCCTCAGCAGTTCAACGTGTGTCAAGACTTGATTGAAGGATGGAAGGACAGATCTGTCAAGGAATGCAAGGGAATCTTGGACTTTGGCCGCTCATGGCAGGGTCCATCGGACTTTTTCAGTTGCAACCCGTTCAACATCTCTAGCCGTGGGCAATGTCCTCGAGCAGCCGAGACTGGTCACAACTTAATTCTCCCAGGGTTTTTACACATGTTGAGATATTTCCCAATTGGGTTGAAACTAATGTCTTTCGCCTGGTGGATTTTCCATTGTTGTGTCCGTTGATACAAACTTTCTACAGTAAAACCACTCCTGCAGCGACAACACATTGCACAGACGCCCTTGCAGTGTATGCCGTTTGGACAACCAAGAAAAACCATACTCGCTTGAACATTTCAACCTGTGTGAAGACTTGATTGGAAGATGGAAGGGCTGGTGTGAGGGACAGCAAGGTGAGCTTAGAGTTTTGCGACCCACGGCAGGATCCATTGTACTCTTTCAGTCGCAACCTTTGCAAAACTCTGTTGCATTAGCAATGTCCTCAAGTAGTCGAGTCTGGTCAAAACATGTGTTTCGCCTTGAATAGGTTGAAGCGAACACCTGATCTTCAGAACGCAAGGGGCGTCCAATGCGGCAGTTTCAAACTATGTGGAAGGCTACCCCCAAGCAAACTAACAAGCATAGCAATGGAAACTCAATAGTAAATGTTGTTGCCAATCATGGATTTTCCAGTGCCATGTTCGTTTACCAGGTAGACCAAATGAGCTATATTTACAACAATGTTTGGAAGACATTTCCAAGAAAACAGGTTCCGTGAAGGAACCTTTTGCAGCAACACCACTCCCGCAGCGCCTATGCTTTGCACAGGTGCTTTGCCAGTGTATGAGCCCTGGACAAAGTAGAAAACTACCATGGCCTCGGCAGTTCAACCTGTGTGAAGGCTTGATTGAAGGATGGAAGGACAGATCTGTCAAGGAATGCAAGGGAATCTTGGACTTTGGCCGCTCATGGCAGGGTCCATCGGACTTTTTCAGTTGCAACCCTTTGAAAATCTCTGGCCCTGGGTGATGTCCTCGAGCAGCCGAGACTGTAAACCAACATTCTTTGGAAAATCCACATGTTCAATAGTAAAATCATCCACAATTCTTGGATTTGCCACTGCCATGTTGGTTTATCAGCAGGTACTGGGCATGCTTGAGTCAAGTACGATATGTCTAGAAATTGTTTGAAAGGCGTTTCCACAAGAAACTGATTCCGCAAAAGGAACTTTCTTCAGTATAACCACTCCCACAGCGCCGACCATGCATCCTTCCAGGACAACCAAGAAAAACCATACTCGCTTGAACATTTCAACCTGTGTGAAGACTTGATTGGAAGATGGAAGGGCTGGTGTGAGGGACAGCAAGGTGAGCTTAGAGTTTTGCGACCCACGGCAGGATCCATTGCACTCTTCCCGTCGCAGCCCTTTGCAAAACTCTGTTGCCTTAGCAATGTCCTCAAGCAGGCGAGACTGGTCAAAACATGTTTTTCCCGAAAACTTCCCCGGATTCGAATATCTCAGCATTGTGCAGGCGTTTCTCGGCCTTTGCGCACACGAGCACTTACATGCCTTAAGGTGGATTTTACAGCAACAGCAAACCTGCTCTGCAAGAGCTGCTCAGGGCTGAGGCACATGAAAGCAGTCAGCAATTTGAGATGGCCGCTTTGTGCACTGTGAGGGTTCATGTCCTTTCTGACCAGGCTTTCATCCACTAAATGCATCCATCTTGCCACCTGTGCTCGAACATTTGGGATCCATACAAAGACTTCTGGAGGAAAAAACACTCCTGTAAGTTGAAAATACGAGAGGAGAAAAAGGACTGAACAGCTCTCTGAAACCTTAGGTCATTCCAAAGAGCCGACGCTCTGAAAGGAAGCAGTGTGCACTTTGTTTACAAATGGGATGCAACACAGCTTCCTTCACATTGCATGGAAGTTCACATCAGAAAACATTCGGCCTGAAGTTCAGGCTGAACCTTTGCGAACCACGACTGCGACAGTCTCGTCAGCGCAAGCCAGGAAGGTCTGTGCGGTCTCGCAAAAGGCATCGACAGGTGGAACACCTTCCATGAAAGGTGCAACAGGTTGTTCACACCCATCGCGACTGAAAACAAATTGGTTTCGACAGCTTCCCACAAGGACAGACACCAGAGAGCCGCCGTGACCAGATTTTTTGTTGCACCCCATGGTTGCACCAGGGGCGCACGTCTCTTATTTTGACCCGTCAAAAGCCTCCCTGAAAGACTTACACATTGTTCATCATTTTTCCCTAAGGCGCTCGCAAAAGTTACTGTAAAAAACGGGGAAGCTCCGCCAAAGCTCTACAAAGGTCTACACAGAGTCCCGACACGAAAACTACACAACAGTTGATACAAAAGGGATAATACCGCGCAAGAACAGCGAGAGTAAAAAGCAATCTGATGTAGCCCGCGAAGGCCAAAACAATGTCCGCGCTGATCCTATGGGGAAGACTCCGTGACGTGACGTAGGATCCTGGTTGGGCAATACCGTTCAGACATTGTGCAATAGTTCATAGCAAGAGCATCAGGTCACTGCATGGCCGCCATGGGCTGACCTGCAGTTGCCATAGAAATCACATTCAACACTTCGAGTTTATCGTAGATGCTGCACTCACAAGCAGGTTGGAAGGTAATGGATAATTCATTTCGGGGGAGCTAAGTTTTTTGAAGCCCTCGTTACCTTGCTGTAGGACGTGTTCCTTCAAGCTGCAGTTTTCATTCCGTCCCCTCTAGACCATCCTAGTCCGGTGCCACCATTTAGTGGCACGGCATTTTGTCCAAGCAGCCAAGTCGCCTGAAGTTGACAAAGTGCCCGCAGTGTCAAGAGAAATGAGAAAAGTAAGTTGAATTCAGGGCTGAGGCATCCTACGCGACAAAGCTATCTTGGTTGCCGGCCAATTTGTTTAGCTCTCATTTTGGATTGCCCAAGGTCTTGTTCATCTTCCTTTCGTGGGCAAAAGTGTTTTCACCTTCGGGGTCCATGGAGGAAACATGGTTCCCAAGAGTTGGTTTAAGAGGTAAAGTGGCCAACACTTGCGCAGCTCACATGTGACAAGCATTGCCAATTGCCCATCTAGCATTGTTGAACCCTTCCGTGTTGCGAACATGTTGTTGCATTCTGGCTGAGTTAAGTCAATCGCAGGTGCAGAAAAAAATGAGTGGGAATGCCACGAATCCGTTCCGGTTAGTTTTCACGGGAGGCATCACTTGAATTCCCTCGATCGATGTGAACTTCCAAGCATCTTCTGCATTTTCCCGGAGTCAACCTGCTCGGTTCCGGTGGACAGTCCATGATGGCCGGCTGTCACAGTCGAGGTCGTCATTTGTTTGTTGGTAGCAACTCCTTGTGGGGCGTCCCAAAAGGAAACTCAGACATCAGCTGACATTGGTGCATGACATTGTTTTGTTTATAGTTCCTTGCTGCTTGGTCACGAGAAATCAGAACATATGAAAACATATGGTTCTGTGAATTCGCTGTTGGGACCATCTTGTCCGTAGGGATTGTTCGAATTCGAGATGTCAGCTCGATGTGCACAGTAGACGCTAGTGCCGCTGGGATTGTGTCGCTCCAAGCCCTAAGGTGTCGTGAGGTGTTGGAGGTGGATGGAGCTGGAGCAGATGCTCGGTTGATGACTGTTAGCTTGCCACCTGGTCCCCTTAAGTCTCAGCAAACGCGTCACTTGGAGCTTAGCGTGCCATGAAGGCCGCGTTATGCGGCCGCCTCCATCGGTTTGGCCACGGCTTGTGCTTTCCGTGGCTGTCATGATGTATGCATCGTTGTACAGTTGTACAGTACCCAACCTACGGCTGACTCTCGGGGTACAGCCTCTTTTTTGAGCATCGCGCTGCAACAGCTTTGGAAGTTGTCCGATGGTGCGCAATCTTGTTGAGGTTGCCTTTCCATTTGCTCACAATTTTAAATTCTGTGAAGTCTGGGCCTGGAGCATCTGGAGCGTCTGCACTCGCATCTGCATTCCTTGTTCCGAGTTCTTTGCTTCAGCAGTTGTGAGCTCTTGGTCCATCGTTGATGCTGTTGGACTCCCGCTGCTCAGGGCGCGAGACCCGGGAAGAGACGACAGCGACACTTGCATCATCAACGCTGAAACCTTGGTACTTCCTCCGCGGCCAAATGTGAAGTTTCGCATAGCACAGCCATGGTGCCATTTGAACCCCAACGTCGTGAACAAGGTTCGATCCCACGACATTTGACCAGTGCCATTTGATCGATGTTAGAGCTATCAAAGTGGTCGAATTTGTTCCGATTTGCAACCTCAACAATCCGACAGCACTGTACACATTTGCTTTGACTGAGTGTGAGGCCTTTCCTCAAGGGAAAGCTGATGGCTAGCTAATCAGGTCGCACACATGTTTTTTGGGGTGTCAAAATGTTGCTCCAAGGGACTCCCAATGATTTTTAAATTTTGGTCGCCAACACAGTTGGCTTGAGATGCAATTCAACATGTTGGCTTGAGATGCAATTCAACATGTTGACTGTAGCAAGGAAAAAGTGCGTGGAGATCGGAATGCAACATGGGCCCATGTCAGCAAAAACATACATCAGGTAGATGCGCCCTGATGCAGTTGTTTCTTGCCCAACACAAGCCCATTATCTTTGAAACTGTATGGATCTGTATGGTTGCTAATCACATGTAAAGAATTCAGAGGTGTATTTTTCATGCAGATTATGGCGTTGCTTCCTTCGATATCTTTCGATATCTTTCAATCACCATCTCCCAGCTTCGCTTTCCGGAAACCATTTGATCAAAGCACACATGGTTGAACGACAAACATGTTCGACGCACACTGACCATGTATGTTCAGAACAAGCGCCTCACATACAGTATTGTTGAAGATCAGATGGCAAGCAATCACTGCTGGACAGGACCAAGGAAATTCAACATTCATCAAGTAATAGCACTGGCGACGTCCGTATGCCCACTGTGTGGCAACGTGTTTGCCGAACATGTTTTCAACATGGCCCATACATAGCAAACCCCAAGCAACAGTTAAGTTAGAATGGTATTCCTGCTGCATGTTTTGGATGCTATTTTTGTGTAACTTCCCTATTTGGAAGGTTTGCTCCATTGGGATTGTTGAAACTAACCACGTGTTCATCACCTAAGAATACCTAAGCCATCCTAAGCCTTAATCCGTGGCCGCTGCATTGCATTGCTACAAGTGAAAACTTATGAACACGTTTTGATTTCAGTAGCGTGGACACGTGGACAGATGAAGCAATTCCAATATGATGCAGTTTGCCATCTATCCTTGGCAATCCGTTGCAGGCGCATGGTGAGACTCAGGACTGGCATGGGTAGAGTTTTTTATTGGGTTTCTACTTCTTTTCAGGGATCATCTCATACCTTTTGCAAAGGTTTTTGACTTCCAGGAAGTCACATTACTCATGTGAGTACCGACAGCTAATTGATCTGAGACAGACTAAGGATTTATGAGAAATTATGCATTCTAAGGATTCAAAATGAAAACTAAATGAGTTGCAATAGCTATAAATGGCAAAAAGAGGGATGTATAAAAAGTTCAACACCAAAAAAAGTGGGACACAATAGAAGACCCCTGAACAAAACACATTTTTGAAGATTTGATCTAAGCTGCTCTTAGTTTCAAAAGGTGAAAATTGTTCTGCTATCTTAAAAATTATTATATCTTTAAAAACAAAATTATATAAAAGAAAGTGGGACACAATAGAAAACCCTTGAAACAAAACACAGCATTGAAGACCTGAGCTGATCTGAGGTTTAAGAAATGAAAATAATATCTAGTTGAATCTAGTTAGTCAATTGATCTAAGAAATTAATTGAGGAAATTAATGCTATTTTTTTCAAAAATGATTTTTCCCCACCTGCCAGGTGAGGGTCACTAGATTTTATCAGAGTCCATCGCCCGCTGCCGCTCCCACCGCCGCCACCTCCGCCGCCTCCTCGCCAGCTCCAGATCCCAGCGGGCACTGCCGGACTTCAGCCGCGAGCTCCAGATCGCAGTGGGCACTGCCGGACCTCAACCTGTATACATGCCAGATTGACTGGCAGAAAGAATGCCAGATAGAATGCCAGATAGAATGCCAGAAAGAATGCCAGAAGAATGCCAGATAGAATGCCAGAAAGAATGTCAGATAGAATGCCAGATAGAATGCCAGAAAGAATGACAGAAAGAATGCCAGATAGAATGCCAGATAGAATGCCAGATAGAATGCCAGAAAGAATGTCAGAAAGAATGTCAGAATACATGCCAGAAAGAATGCCACAAAGAATGCCAGATAAATGCCAGATAGAATGCCAGATAGAATGCCAGAAAGAATGCCAGAAAGAATGCCAGATAGAATGCCAGAAAGAACGTCAGATAGAATGCCAGATAGAATGCCAGAAAGAATGCCAGAAAGAATGGCAGATAGAATTCCAGAAAGAATGCCAGCTGGAATGCCAGATAAAATGCCAGATAGAATGCCAGATAGAATGCCAGATAGAATGCCAGAAAGAATGTCAGATAGAATGCCAGAAAGAACGTCAGATAGAATGCCAGATAGAATGCCAGAAAGAATGCCAGAAAGAATGGCAGATAGAATGCCAGAAAGAATGCCAGCTAGAATGCCAGAAAGAATGTCAGATAGAATGCCAGAAAGAATGCCAGAAAGAATGTCAGATAGAATGTCAGAACATATGTCAGATAGAATGCCAAGAGGAAGAGGAGGAGAGGACAATTCTGATGAAATCTAGAGACCGAAGGTCTCTAAATTTCATCAGAGTTGTCCTCTCCTCCTCTTCCCTGCCAGAGTTTTGCCAGAAAGATTGTCAAAATCTCTATCACACTATATGCCAAATAAAGTCTCATGGTGGGGATCACTCGAAGAAAGTAATTAGACATGTTTCAAAAATCGAAATTGCGTTTTGAAAACAACAATAAAATGACTTTGTTCCCCACCTGCCAGGTGAGGGTTGATAGATTTTATCAGAGCTGCCCGCGGCCTCCTCCTCCTCCTTCTTCTCCTCCTCCGCCGCCTCCTCGCCAGCTCCAGATCGCAGTGGGCACTGCCGGACTTCATCTGCCAGCTCCGGATCATAGTGGGCACTGCCGGACTTCATCTGCCAGCTCCAGAGCGCAGTGGGCACTGCCGGACTTGAACCACGAGCGCCAGATCGCAGTGGGCACTGCCGGGCCTCAGCGGCGACTGCCAGATCGCAGTGGGCACTGCCGGACTTCAGTGGCGCCTGCCAGATCGCTGGGCACTGCCGAATCCCAGAACATGCCAGATAGAATGCCAGAACATATGTCAGATAGAATGCCAGATAGAATGTCAAAACATGTCAGATAGAATGCCAGAACATATGTTCTTTAAGTTTCAGATTTTGATTTTTCTTCGTGTGTGTTCGAATAGGCAGGGCAAAAAGCGCCAGTATTGTTGATTGGTTCGTGATTTGCTTGGAACCATATTTTCCATCCATACTTGGGATATCTTGCGATGGTTAGCTCCATCGTTCAACATGGGCTGAAGGTGTCCATGTTGGCCAAAGCCTGGTGCTCTGGGCGACGCCTGGGACAACATGATTTGCTCACTATATAAATGGGAAAACATGGGTGTTCCTGACCAGCCATGGGGATTGAATCTGTCAAAATGGTCGCCATCATTGAAATTGTGGATCCTTTGGGTGAGCCATCTCATCCAACCACCTCTGCACTGAAGCGGAAAGATCATGTCCATCCTCGTCGCAAATATGTGGATGTGTGTGTGTGTGGCCGGTTGGACGCTTGCAGGGCTTCTTTGAAATACCGTTCGTATCAAATGCAATCAGTATGGCGTAGCGTAGGGTCGCAGGTAGCTCATTATAGGTTGAGGGTTTCTGACACTGAGACTGGTCAATAGATAAAGTTAAAGGGTTCCGAAGTGGTATCCCCGAAATGTGCCCAAATCCAGTCACGAAGGCGAAAGCACGGGATCCGTGAACCCTTGACGGCCGCAGGCCTATGGCCACTTCGAGGCCTCATATCTCCTCACCTTGAGCGCCCGAAAGCGGCGTTGCGGCACCTGATGGGCATGAGTTCGAGCCTCAAACTAGACGACGGATGGCCCGAGAGCGTAGAGGAGCAGAGTCTTCTGTTGTTAGTATGGAGACACTATATTAAAGATGTATTATAGGCAGACGAGAAGAGTAGTATCAAGACAATATATGACTAGTACAAGACAATAGTTTGCATCGTATTTTTGTAAAGTTTTTCATACACAGAACTTTTTACAGACAGACGCTTTTGCACACAGAGACTTTTACACACAGAGACTTTTACACACAGAGACTTTTACACACAGACGCTTTTACACACAGACGATTTTGCACACAAACACTTTTACACACAAACACTTTTACACACAGAGACTTTTACACACACAGACGCTTTTACACACAGAAGCTTTTACACACAGAAGCTTTTACACACAGACGCTTTTACACACAGACGCTTTTACACACAGACGCTTGTTACACATAGGCTCTTTTACACACAGACACTTTTACACACAGACGCTTTTACACACAGAGCCTTTTACACACAGACGCTTTTACACACAGACGCTTTTGCACACAGAGACTTTTACACACAGAGACTTTTACACACAGAGACTTTTACACACAGACGCTTTTACACACAGACGATTTTGCACACAAACACTTTTACACAAACACTTTTACACACAGACGCTTTTACACACAGACGCTTTTACACACAGAAGCTTTTACACACAGAAGCTTTTACACACAGACGCTTTTACACACAGACGCTTTTACACACAGACGCTTTTACACACAAACGCTTTTTACACATAGGCTCTTTTACACACAGACGCTTTTACACACAGACGCTTTTACACACAGAGCCTTTTACACACAAACGCTTTTACACACAGACGCTTTTACACACAGACGCTTTTACACACAGACGCTTTTACACACAGACGCTTTTACACACAGAAGCTTTTACACACAGACGCTTTTACACACAGATGCTTTTACACACAAACACTTTTACACACAAACACTTTTACACACAGACGCTTTTACACACAGTCGCTTTTACACAGACACTTTTTTGACACACAGAACTTTTACACACAGACGCTTTTACACACAGACGCTTTTACACACAGACGCTTTTACACACAGAGCTTTTACACACAAACACTTTTACACACAGACGCTTTTACACACAGACGCTTTTACACACAGAGCCTTTTACACACAGACGCTTTTACACACAGACGCTTTTACACACAGACGCTTTTACACACAGACGCTTTTACACACAGACGCTTTTACACACAGACGCTTTTACACACAGACGCTTTTACACACAGACACACACAGACACACAGACTTTTACGCACAGACGCTTTTACACACAGACGCTTTTACACACAGACGCTTTTACACACAGAGGCTTTTACACACAGAAGCTTTTACACACAGACGCTTTTACACACAGACGCTTTGACACACAGACGCTTTTACACACAGACGCTTTTGCACACAGTCTTTTACACACAGACGCTTTTACACACAGACGCTTTTACACACAGACAAGTCCGGCACAAGTAAACTCGCAATTTTTCCTCAGTTTTTGACGATCGACCCTCATTTCGTGCGAAAGGGTTGCTCCGGCACAAGTAAAATCGCAATTTTTCCTCAGTTTTTGACGATCGACCCTCATTTCGTGCGAAAGGGTTGCTCCGGCCCAAGTAAAATCGCAATTTTTCCTCAGTTTTTGACGATCGACCCTCATTTCGTGCGAAAGGGTTGCTCCGGCCCAAGTAAAATCGCAATTTTTCCTCAGTTTTTGACGATCGACCCTCATTTCGTGCGAAAGGGTTGCTTTAGCACAAGTAAAATCGCAATTTTTCCGCAGTTTTTGACGATCGACCCTCATTTCGTGCGAAAGGGTTGCTCCAGGACAAGTAAAATCGCAATTTTTCCTCAGTTTTTGACGATCGACCCTCATTTCGTGCGAAAGGGTTGTTTTAGCACAAGTAAAATCGCAATTTTTCCTCAGTTTTTGACGATCGACCCTCATTTCGTGCGAAAGGGTTGCTCGGGGACAAGTAAAATCGCAATTTTTCCTCAGTTTTTGACGATCGACCCTCATTTCGTGCGAAAGGGTTGCTCCGGGACAAGTAAAATCGCAATTTTTCCTCAGTTTTTGACGATCGACCCTCATTTCGTGCGAAAGGGTTGCTCGGGGGCAAGTAAAATCGCAATTTTTCTTCAGTTTTTGACGATCGACCCTCATTTCGTGCGAAAGGGTTGCTCGGGGGCAAGTAAAATCGCAATTTTTCCTCAGTTTTTGACGATCGACCCTCATTTCGTGCGAAAGGGTTGCTCCGGCACAAGTAAAATCGCAATTTTTCCTCAGTTTTTGACCGGCACAAGTAAAATCACAATTTTTCTTCAGTTTTTGACGATCGACCCTCATTTCGTGCGAAAGGGTTGACGTTTCGTGACTCACCGCCGGTACCACCCTCGGCCTAAAGAGAGAAAGGAGAGAGAATGAGAGAGAGAGAAGATGTGAAGATGAGAAGGTGTGAGAGAAGGTGTGAAGATGAGAAGGGTGTGAGAGAAGATGTGAAGATGAGAAGGTGTGAGAGAAGATGTGAAGATGAGAAGGTGTGAGAGAAGATGTGAAGATGAGAGGGTGTGAGAGAAGATGTGAAGATGAGAAGGTGTGAGAGAAGATGTGAAGATGAGAAGGTGTGAGAGAAGATGTGAAGATGAGAAGGTGGGAGAGAAGATGTGAAGATGAGAAGGTGTGAGAGAAGATGTGAAGATGAGAAGGTGTGAGAGAAGATGTGAAGATGAGAAGGTGTGAAGAGAGAAGATGTGAAGATGAGAAGGTGTGAGAGAAGATGTGAAGATGAGAAGGTGTGAGAGAAGATGTGAAGATGAGAAGGTGGGAGAGAAGATGTGAAGATGAGAAGGTGTGAGAGAAGATGTGAAGATGAGAAGGTGTGAGAGAAGATGTGAAGATGAGAAGGTGTGAGAGAAGATGTGAAGATGAGAAGGTGTGAAGATGAGAAGGTGAGATACAGACCCCCACTATTGGAAGAACCCTGCGCTCAGACGCTCCCGGGAAAAAAAATGCGGTCGGAAGTCATTAGAGTTGAGTAACTTGGAGTAGCCTCACAGAGTCAAAGAAGAACAGCACTTCACAAAGAAGCTGCCAACTTTTCAATAGTCAGGAAAAACAACTTCACTTTGCAGACGATGCGCTGCATCATTTTCAGCAGCCTGTCTTGCACCCTACAAGTGCATGCATTGCAAATGCTCGATAGACAACGATCTACTCAATCTACTGACGAAACCAGTTGGAATCACATTGACTGACGCATGCGCTGAGGGAACCCAGTCACAACCAAACAGAAGTCCAAGAGGATTTGACCAAGATTGGATTGTCACATGAATCTCTGCAAGCTGCATGCTGGGTGCATGTTAGATGTCACATGGGTTGCACACATGTTTGCACACACAGTCCATTACACACACACACACTCTTGCATCAACTTTGAAGAGCGAAGCGAATGGAATAGACAATTGCAGTCTATTTTTCCCGATCAAATGCTGCATCGCCGGGTAGCCAGAGGAGTAAAGGATATCAGATCATGCAGTTTCGTTGGGTGGGGGCACATCCCCCTTCAAACACTCAACATTTTTGGATCCAGCGTTGAAACAAGGCCCTCACGGCCCTTGCACTTTCAAGCACCGCACGTTTTGCCATTGCTCCGGCCTTCCAGTCCCCGCGTCAGCCGGGGGTGCCCAGTCAAGGTGCATCAGAACCGATTCTGCAGAGCAGGTGGTTTGCACAGGGCGGTGTTAGAAAGATCGGCTGAACGGTATAGTGTGAGAATCACAGCCCAACTTTTGAGTGTGGATGACGTGCTTATCTTGCATTTGATCACACATGCTTGAATGGGAACAGATGCGCATGGTGACTTTCTCATTTGAGCTTTGAGTATTGCTTGGAGCATGTTTTGGGTGTGCTGCGCAATGGGAAAGTTCAGAATTTGATCAGAAACCCGGCGCTTGCAGTGCTTGTCCTCATGGGTGGCTGCTGATGAGCTCAGGGCAAGGGCTCATTGGACCCGCCAAGCAGAACGGGTTTCGATCGCGTTTGCCCTTGGCCCCCACGGGAGCCTGAAACTGGTTCAGTTCTTTCTGGCAAAGTTTTCTGGTCAAAGGGTTGAATTCACAGAGGACTAAGCGACCGAAGGGCAGCTGCCTTGATTTGTCAAATATGTTTTCGATGATTTTGAGGTCTTCACGATGGGCTGCTGTATTGGTGCTAGAACTTCACAGGCGGAGGCGGGAGACAACCATGAATTCCCTAGGGTCCAGATATTACAGCCTGACCGCCATGGGACTGGCTTAACATGGACGTACAACATGTTTTTTGATTTCCAATCCTGAAGCCTTCAGTAAATCATACCACCCATTGCCGCCTAAGAAATAACAACCGTATGACATCGTATGACCATTTTTTTCTGGTCATATGCACGAATATTTTCGAATTTGGAGAGTTGACCAATTTTTTTGGTCATATGCCCATATCTGGCCGTATTTGGCTTCAAGTAGCGAGTTTGAAGAATATTGAAAAATATTGGAAACGTATGGAAAAATTGCATCGGTCCTCTGATTAACCCCGCATGCGATTCACTTAAAACTCGAATTTTTCCATATATGCCGTATGACTAAAAAAAATGTCATAATATGCGGGAAATGACAAGGAGCATACAGTCGTTTGTGGATCCAGGTGTGTTTCCAACAAGTTCACTGGCTGTTGATTGTTTCGCGGACATGTCGCCGTTCGCAGCGAGCAACTTCGATAGCCCTCTGGCTGCCCAGACAGAGGAGGCAGGAAACGACGGTGCATGGCACTTCTGCGCGAATTTCTGAAGCCGTTCAGTTACGACTTGAGCTACTGCCAAAAAGGTCTATGTAAGGAACCCGATATAAATTGGAATGGAATATGGGTCAAAACCTGCAAAAACAAAGCCGACCCTGTCTGACGAAGGCACACCTTACAACTAAAGTTGGTTGATATAGATTCAATCAAGTATGGTGCGTCATGGAGATATTGTTTGGTCTTCATACACATGTTTCTTCTTGTCTTCCTTCTGTTTCCTTTTCTTGCTTTTTCATAATATGACGGTTCTGTTAGCTTCCTTTCCGATCTTTCCGGCTTCGTTGCTTTCTGTTGATCTCGTTTTTCTTACTTTTCCTGAGCCAGTACAAAAGCCGCCGACAATAAAGACACTGGAAGACACACGTCGAAAATGCCCAGTATGATTCGCACAAAACCACCGTCAAATGTAAAGGTCATCAGTCACGAATCAGAGTTTCAACGTGTGAAAGGACTAGCTCAATGAAATTTGTGATTTCGTGGAATGGGCCGTCTCTTGGGACCTGAATCCTTGAAGACTGTGCAAGTGTTCAGCTGGCCATTGCTGCAATAAAGCTCTAACCAGCACCCTTGCGGTGGTGGGAAATGCTTTCACGCTTCTTGTATCTTATCAAATTTGATAAGAACTTGGAAATAGTTGAAGGGTGTAGCCTCCACCACTTCAATCTCTCCCGGATCCACGTCAGCCTGCTCTAAAAATAGCTTCCACATGCTTCCACGCAGGCGAGGAAGACATTGCGGCCATCCCAACTTGCCAGCAGCCGGAGCTGGTGCTCCAAAAAATGCCGGCATGCCTCTTTGTCTCGATCCCCGGCGCGACCTGGCAACACCGCCCAGGTCTTCCACCGGGGGTCGCTTGCATTCGCCCGGTCGTGCAACATTGGAAGCTCGAGGCCCACGGCACCGCCACGGTTGCCAGACGAGGTTTTCCGCTGGCCTGCGATTATGCTGGCACGGCGCATTCGTTTTTCTTGCGACGAAGTCATCGCACTCGGCGGTGCAAAGCAGTTGTGCCTTGGCGCGTTTAGCTGGTGGTTTTAATGGTGGGTTTACCATTCAAAATGGTGATCTAATGATGTTTAACTGTGGGTTAATGGGATTGTTTTGATGATTTAATGGGATTTGATAATTATTTCATGGGGTTTTACCATTCAGAGCTGGTGGATTTAATGGGTTTTAATGGGACTAATTAGTACCTGGTTTGTTGATGTTGGGGAATATTCCGGGAATATCATCAGGCATAGCAGGTACAGCCATCTACCAAGCAGTATATCATGGGATAGGATTTCAAGGTGCATTTGTCCATGGCTTTTCATGGCTCAACTCTCTACTGCCAGGCCTAGGGCGATGGGTCAAAACCATGATGTACCATGGGTCAAAAGGGGGAGATGAACTTCCATGAGCAGATATTTTGGGCCAAACCCCAGGATACCGGGCTTTTGACCCATACCAGTTTTTGAGAAGGTGTTTAATATGGCTTAGGAATGTGATTTGGAACAGAATGGGAATATTTTTCGGATTTCATGGGATCAATTTCATCCATAGATATTTGGGTTTGTTCGAAAACCGTGGGACCAGTATTGCCATCAAATACAATAGTCAAAAAAGCAATCATGAACCTGGCTTGTTTGTGGTACCGTATTTACCCAAGCTGATATGGAGATACACAATCATGTGCCTGGCCAGCAACGGCCCTTCTTCACCACTGGCCACTGGCTGGGCGTGGCGCTCAGGTTGGTACCTGGATTGGCCCTCGCAGTAAGGAGCCTCAGATTGGTCTCAGCGTTGGTAGCTCTAACGGGCTGTGACAGGAAGGTCTGACGAGGATGAGGATGGGGAGGAGGAGTATCTTATGACCAGCATCATCACTATCACCATCAGCACCGTCATAAAGAATATAAGATCATTCTTCCATTTTCCAACTTCAAAGTTGATGCCCGGAAGGATAGGAAGGGTCACTTCTAAGCATCCATTCACCAGTTACCAGCTATCTTAGGGCACCAATGGGTATTATTTGTTGCTACTGATTGTTGAGGCTGCCGGGAAAGATGTCAGTTTTACCTCTTCCAAGGTGGACGGATTTCTACGAATACGCCGCTGATGAAGGTCCGCTGCAGAACCAGTCCAACCGGAGGCGCGATGCCTTTCGCCGCCAGTGAAACTGCACCCTGAAGGTTGACTGAAAGATGATCCAGGTTTCCTGGAAAATTATGTCCATCCATTTGAAGTGGGGCGCTCTACTTGGGGTTGTGGTTATGGCTATAGCCTACGGTATCTCCGTCTCCATACAAAAAAAACAGCGCCATAAGTTGGGATTAAGTGGAACTTTAAGCACCCAAGTGCCCAAGTACTGTAGCGAAATGCCAATCTGAGAATTCAAGAAGCGTCAAGAAAAAGCGTTGTTTCCTCACACATCAATTCTCCTTTTGAAGAAGGGCCTTATCAGACTTGGCAGCTTGTGGGGGGCTCTTGAGCAAAGCTCGACTTCCCTATGTTACAATGTTGTTGTCCCAGGAATAGTCTACGCTCTCACCGTTGTTCCGAGAAATTTGGTTATATCGTTTCCAGTCTAGCTGGCTAAAACAGCAATGTTCAACCATCCAGGAGTTGTGTTGACCGCACACTCACCGTTGTTGGTGAAACCAGCCAGATAGGGACTCGGCTCCATGGGATTGGCTCAGGGTTGCCGACCCCTGGTGTACACCCTGCTGGATCGTCTTACGATGATTGATCATATCTTATCTGGTTGGTGGTTTGGAACATTGTTTAATTTTCCATATATTGGGAATCACAATCCCAACTGACTTTCATATTTTTCAAAGGGCTTGAAACCACCAACCAGTTAAATTCTAACCTTTGATCATCAAGGTCTCATCAAAATGTTTACAAACACCCAAAAACACGGTACATTACCAAGTTACCGATGGTACCGTGAGGGTTAAGCTATCCCTTGATTCGTCTATAACAGCTTATACAAATCACGAAGCCGGGCCAACGTGTACTTGGTAGTAATGGATTAGGTTTGTTGTCATACATGGAAACATATAGACCACAACCAACTCTCCACAAAAAAATACTTCACTTCGAATGATCCCCACCATGGCATTTATACATTTTCTTACTGGCAAATCTTCTGGCATTCTATCTGACATATCTTCTGGCATTCTATCTGGTATATCTTCTGGCATATGTTCTGGCATATCTTCTGGCATATCTTCTGGCATATCTTCTGGCATTCTATCTGGCAAATCTTCTGGCATTCTATCTGGCAAATCTTCTGGCATTCTATCTGGCAATCTTCTGGCATTCTATCTGGCAAATCTTCTGGCATTCTATCTGGCAAATCTTCTGGCATTCTATCTGGCAAATCTTCTGGCATTCTATCTGGCAAATCTTCTGGCATTCTATCTGACATATCTTCTGGCATTCTATCTGACATATCTTCTGGCATTCTATCTGGCACTCTATCTGGCAAATCTTCTGGCATATCTTCTGGCATTCTATCTGGCAAATCTTCTGGCATTCTATCTGGCATATCTTCTGGCATTCTATCTGACATATCTTCTGGCATTGTATGTGGCATATCTTCTGGGATTCTATCTGGCCGTTGAGGTCCGGCAGTGCCCACTGCGATCTGGAAGTCGCGATTGAGGTCCGGCAGTGCCCACTGCGATCTGGAAGTCGCGGTTGAGGTCCGGCAGTGCCCACTGCGATCTGGAAGTCGCGGTTGAGGTCCGGCAGTGCCCACTGCGATCTGGAAGTCGTGGTTGAGGTCCGGCAGTGCCCACTGGGATCTGGAGCTCGCGGTGGAGGTCCGGCAGTGCCCACTGGGATCTGGCGCTCGCGGTGGAGGTCCGGCTGTGCCCACTGGGATCTGGACTGCGAGGAGGAGGAGGAGGATGCGGAGGCGGAGGAGGAGGAGAACAGCTCTGATAAATCTAACAACCCTCACCTGGCAGGTGGGGAACAAATTCTTGCAGTGTCTCTCCTTGTATCTATACATGGTTTTTGTTCTTTAAAGTGTTTTGAATTTCCGAGCAGTCAATGCAAACTAGCTACTTGGCTAGTTCAGTCCTCAGTAGATAATTCTTGTAAATTGTCAGGCAGTGCTTGACTAAGATACACTAGGGCGGGAAGTCAGAATGAACGAAATTCTATTGATTCAGATTAATTAAATAATTTACATATATATATAATAATAATAATAATACATAATTTATGCGTATATAAACATGTATATATATATATATATTATTTTATACATACAATTATACATATATAAATATACATATCATATCATATCATATTCTATCCCCATGTTTGCTGGTAAAAACGATTCAACAAGTCCCATGGCTAGACCTTCCCTGCCACGCCTTGCAACGTCCAGGCTGCTGGGTGGTGAAGCCGCGCTGTGGACGGAGCGGATGGATTTCACCAACGTTCTGTGCCGTGCCTGGCCGCGGGGCTTCGCTGTAGCAGCGCCATGGCCATGATGTGGAGATTTTGGAGGAGATTCACTGGAGATTTAGCCATATTAGATCATCTTAGTATGTATACATACATATATATATATATGTATGTATGTATGTATGTATGTATGTATACATTTACATATTCATATATATATATATATATACATATATATATACACACATACATATATATATATATGTATACATATATGTATATACATATTATAACAATAGATATAAGTAGCCTGGGAGATACCTAAAAAATGGCAATTTTGATATACAGGGACAATGGAGAACGAGGTCTCATAACATTCCGAGGCGCTCTGAAATTAGGGAGATTCAGCTGAGGAGCGGCTCTGGTCCGACACCAAGCCTGGCGCCATTGCGTCGGAGCAGAGAGACCCCCAGGCGCGGAGGGCGGGAGGGATGGCCAGAACAAACTGACAGAAATGGAGATTTCACTGTGTTTTTATGGTGATCTAATGGTGTTTTTATGGAGATTTTATTGTGTTTGTATGGTGATGTCATTGTGAGTTAATGGTGGTTGAATGATGATTAAATGTGATTTAATGAAATATAATGGACATATAGTGGGGTTTACCCGTCCAGTAACCTAACATTGCTATGGTATAGATGGCCCATTTAGTTCGATGATTAACCTGTTAAAAGGCTGATTTGACATAGTCATATAGTCGTGTTAGGTTACTAGAAAGTAACTCTGGTGTGGTGGTGTCGTCATGTTTTTTCACATCTCGACATGTTTGCGTTCTTTCAATGCAGGAACATGTTATATCCCTTTTTTATTCTTTGTCATAGATTACCTGCTGCGCTGAACTAGTCGAATAGGTTACACATGTTCCAACTTGTTTACCCCTGTTTCAGCCATACCACTCCAATCCAAATGCGCAGTGTTCCGGTTGGTTAAATGATTGTAGATGGTTGATGAATGTTAATATTGGGGATACTATAATTAACATTCATCTATAGATCATCTACCAGATATTAGTATCCAAATATGATTATATATTAGTATCCCAATATGATTATAGATTGGATATATGGATAGATCCAATATATTGGGGAGGATCATCTTCCACTACGGGAATCTCGTTCTGAACCAGGATTTTCAGGGGTAGTAGAGGCTATTGAACACTCATCAATCGGATATCCATCGTTGAATAAACCTCTGTTCTACGATTTTCGGATCCAATTGGACAATATTAGAACACATTAGATACATTTACAGTAGATACCCTTTGGTAATGACTAACATAGCCATTGAAAATGGCCCATAAAAATAGTTGATTTACCTATTAAAGATGGTGATTATCCATAGCTATGTTAGTTTACCAGAGGGTAACCACTCATGTTAATCATGGCTTGTTTTCTGTATCAACCAGGCGATTTTAAATGCGAGAAAAACATGTACTAGCTATAGATATACCGACCGTTCCTTCCATTCATGAGTTGGTTTATAAACCCATTAGCTATATAGTTGTACATAGATATTCCCCATTGATCCTACACGTTCACCAAGTGATGTGCGTCGAGTTTCGGGACCCGACAGGTGGACCGGCGTTTGGAGCTCCAGAGCGAACGCTTTCAACGTTTGCATCGCTTGAACTTGAGACCCCTGAGGCGGAGATCCGAGCCCCGAGTCCTTCGCTGAGTCAACACTTGGCTGCTAGTTACCCTCTGGCGGCTTTAACATAGCCATGGGAAATGACCCATAGAAATAGACTAATAGATGGTTGACCTATTAAAAATTGTGATTTTCCATGGCTATGTTAAACAACCGGAGGGTAAATTGCCATAGAATTGGTTTTTGGATGATCATGTAATGTGGGTAGAGCAATGTCATAAACTACCCATTTGGGAATGGTAAGCATCCCACAAATTTTTGGTGATTTGGGGGATGGTTTATCATTGTTTTACCCACATTACTTGTTTTTTTGCTAGTTAAGCATCATTCTTGAATCCATCAATTGGAGCATATGTGTTTTTTAGATACACCTGTAGACCCTGAATTCACATCTCAAAAGCTGGGAGTTGATGGGTACTTTGACGCTCAACGCGGCTATCTGTGGTGGATCCCGAAAATATCCAAATGATGATCCTGTTATGGGGACCAGCACTAAACACCTGCAGGAATGAATAAATCCCAACATGCCTGGCCTGTACCCCACAAGATTGGACCAAGATGTTTTGCTCATGATTTCCAGGTGACCAACTTTTCTATCTCCATGGGGCTCGCTATAGTGCTGAAAAATTGACATGCTCTGTTGGGGGTCCAGTGTGTATCCGTATGGCAGTTTCTACAACTTGACACAAGATCCACTATGGTGTACTGCACGGCTTCGAAAGGGGGTGGCGCATTATTCCTAATGTTTTTCGACAATACAGCCCCCAAGAAAATCTGGTTTCAAACTAATTTTTGAACAATCCCAAATATATGATACTATATTGGTTAATATTGTTTGTTTCTACATATCAATAATGTAACTGTGTTATGATCGGTCTTATACAACCAGTCATGTTGGTTTGTATATATTTATATACACACATTATAGACATACACACTATATTATAGATATTAAATATATCTAAATTGTATCTTATATTGTTTCTCGCATGCATTATATATTCTACGTTACATATCACATTATATATATGTAGCATATGGTAGATTATTCATCATATATCTTGGATTAGTATGTAATACATATGTATATATATATATACACATATATATACATATGTATATATAATGTCATTGAAACAATAATGGACCATCCATTTGGGAATGCTTTATACCAACCATATAAATGATGAATCTGGGGATGGTTTATGGCATTGTTTTACCAACATTGTATATAATAGTTAATAACACAACATAGTGATTTTGTGTAACCAACATTTTATATTGTAGTTAATAACACTTTTAGTTTTAAAATGTCTATACATATCATTAATATGTGATATCTAACATTAAACATAGTAGATATAATGTTTACCATTTTTTTTAATATATCTAACATTATTATATATGATTATATATTGTTTTACCAACATAGTAGTTACATATTTCCATCAGCTACGCGCCATGGACACAGCCTTCAGGCCAGGTGGGACTGCGCCGCTCGAGGTCGGGATCCCAAATGGACGCCAAACCCTGGTTATTTAACGTAGCCATGGTAAATCACCATTTTGGATCGGTAAATCAGCATGAATCATCCATAAATGGGCCATTGTCCATAGCTATGTTAAAAATAACCAGAGGGTGTATACAAATATATATATATATAGTATATATACGAAGTTCATGATGTTTATAAACCATCCAAGGCAAAACGTTGGAGAATGATCCATGAATCAAATGGATTGAACCATTAAAACATGGGGATTTGACTAGGATAATTGGTTTTATAATGGCAATATTTGATTGTTTTTTTAACATATATTGGGATATACTGTCTGATTATTTCACATAGCTCACATAATTAGTTGAAGATAACATGTACAAGAATCCCGTTATAATTGATTATCAAAACCATGTGTTCCTTTCATTTTTTCCTTAAACCAGTCCATTGAATAGCAATGGAACTGGTTATATTTGATAAGCAAACTAAACGGGTGACTGTCCAACACATATTTAACAAAATGAGGATATTCAAACAACATGAATAGATCTAGCAGGCATAAACAATAAATGAAATTCAAACTCTGGATATGTGCGTACGTAACAAAGGTTCCACATTTTATTGGGATATTCACAATCTGACTGATGCAAATGTGCTTCACACCAGTTATAAGGCATCCTGGAAGATGAAAAAGTGGGGTGATCGTCATTATCATTGCCACATACGGACTCTAGACATGCATTGGTTTCTGCTGGACTTTCCATTTCTGCAGATTCCCCTCAACGGATCGTCATTGAGGGCTTGGGTTGCAGTTACTTATCCCAGTAAGTGGACCCGAGGTTCAGCCAGTCCAATCTGCTGGAAGTGACTGTACTTGGGTGAGTTCACAGCAATTACCCTCTGGTAAACATACAAAAAGCTATTGAAAATGGCCATTTATAGTTGATTTAAGCATCACAAATGGTGATTTTCCATAGTTATGTTTGGACTTACCAGAGGGTATAAGTGGACTAATGGTCTAACCCTACCCACCCTACTTAGCCTACTGCCCCAACTGAGGTTATAAGCCACTTACCAAATGGGACGAACGACAAAGTATAAAGCACTTCTGAAGGATGTACTTGGCGACCCACATTATTCTCCAAACACTCCAGAAGGTATTTGGATCCATAGGGCGTACTTATGGGTTCCAATTGTCCGCGTAACTTACAAGATGGAGCCTGCCAATCATCACTTGGCTCATAAATCACATTAACTAGTTCCAAAATTCTACTGCAAACCACGATTACATCAATGAAGCTAGATACAAACCAACTTAGCTATGTATAAGTCAAGTGTAGATCCACATTTTTGCTGGTGAAGTCGGTGAAGTCCCTTTTTTGTTGCTGTTGTAATCCCCATCTTTCTTGGTGAAGACCTGACCATTTCCAGGTCCTTCAGAGCGACTTGAAGAATGTGGACAGGACCTGTCCACTACTGGAGAGCCAGGTCGCCGGCCACGCGTGGCAAGCGACATTTTTGGGGGATTTAATAAAGTGGAAGTTGAGAATTCATTGGATAAATACAAAGTTTTAAGTTTATAAATATACTTGACCATACTATATGTCAAGTGTTTATGAGTATTTATTGGATTTATACAATCGGATTTTTAAAAATAATAAGACGTATATTAAACTATATGCGAAACCCATCTCTCCAACCTTTGTTTGATGTTTTGTGTGAACTTTGAGTGCTGAATTGTACTAATTATGTTGCGTTTTGGTATGTCTGAAAATAGGGTACCCAAAAAAAACATAGTCAAACATCATGTTCCCATAGAAAGGGGTTGCTCCAACTCCAGGTAGGTGAATATAGGTACATGATCGCCGCAAGGGGGAATACTTGGTAATTATATCGTTAAATCTCTCTATCTACCCATTCCCCCAAACTAACGAATTTGCCATGCTGGGAGCAACCCTGTGAAAATTGCAATACATTGGGGTATACCTCATTTCAAGTGGGTTCGTTGTATCCGACTGTGTCGAGTTATAAGCCCAATACTATTGGCTACATATCCCATGCGTTTCCCATTTTTATATCCCGCTATATAACAAAAAATGATACTTATTTCCTATCTGCCGGCTGTATCCCAATATATATGATTCAATATTCCATCTACTAGATGATTTTCACATACTCCAAAGGGGCATTATCCCTTATAAATCATTACAAATCAACCATTCTTGTGGAATATTCACTATATTTCCTAATTCATAATGCTTCATTACCTATTATATTAACTATATTAAAAAAATCATTAACTATCGTTATATATATATATATATCATATTTAAGAGATTTAAGCCATGTTTCTGGGAAATGTCCACTTGGGATATGCCTTGTCCGATCCAGGCGATCCAACGGGATGAACCACCCGGGAAGGCCCGGATGCCTCTTGAAGTCAGGGCACAGAATATGGCAACTAATATGGGATTTTATGGCAAAAATGATATGAATATGGGATTTTTTCTGGGATTTTCATGAAGATATGGGAGATGGGAGGCAAAAAAACATGACCATCACATGGGATTTCTGGGAATTTCATCAAATTTCATGGCCATGTATGGGGATTTAATGAGGATTTAGTGAGAATTTAAAGGGAGTATGGGAACATATGGCTTGCCATGTGGAGATTTTTCCATGGGGATATATTGGAATATTTTTTGCAACTTCCGCGTATGGGATGGACCTGGAGTACATATGTATAGTGAGATATTACTTACCCTCTGGTAAACTAACAGTTTGCTATGGAAAATCATCATTTTTAATGGGAAATACCACTACAAATGGCCATTTTCAATAGGTTTTTGTATGTTTACCAGAGGGTACCAACAATACTATCAAAGGATGTTTAGAATGTCAATGGGCAGCTTCGCATACCTCACCAACTCAAGCACGCTGGTAGGATCACTAGATGGTATATAAGTTGATCCTGTGTATGTATGATGTATATATGTATTGTATTGGCTATATATGATGCAAATTGATGGTTTGAGTTTAAGCACTTATATCATATCCGTATGTTATATGGTTTCTCTATTGATACATTTATGGTTCAATTTCAAACCATACATTTCCATGCTTCAATACGAGGAGGGGGTGGGGTAATTTCAAGACATACAGATGGTATGTTGATGGGGATAATACCAAGGGGTAAATTCAAGCCCCCTAGACCCTCCAAGTACCCTTAAATGCTGTTTTACATCATAATCTTATTACTTATACCATTTTATTTGGGTGCTTGGAGTGCTCAGGCATTTACATACCAGTAGCAGCATTACGTATGGGGACTAGAGATGACCAGTACAATGATTGGAGTCACGAGTCGCAGTTGGGATTTACCAGGTTACCAGCCATGTTAAATTACCAGGTCATGCAGGCAGTTCAATGCATATCCAGTGGCACCAGGGGGGTCTTTCACCAAGAAATGTCTAAATAAATATATTTATATACATACATCATATATACATAATACATATGAGGCCATTTAGCAAATCTTTGCATGCTGTGGATGGACAAGCCATCCTTCAGAACTATTGGTGACTATGCCAACTGGTCCAGGATTTATTCCATCCACAGTATGTCCCCCACAATTCTTCTTCGTTCAGCCGGATATTGCTTGCTACTCATGGTTTGATTCTGAGCAGCTAGACAAAAAAGCAGCAGTTGGTTCATGCGGAAACAGTGATCTAGTTTATCGGAAGGGATTCTTGGACTTTCCATTATGAACATCCCCATGAACCAATCAATCATTATGTTTCCATATTGGATTCTCATAATGGCTGGTGAACCATAAGTCCCAATCAATTCCATCAACCACCATACTCTCCTGTAATTAACATAGATGTGGAAAACTAACCATTTGTAGATCATGTTCCTCCTAAGGTAATATTGGTGTCCTACATCTATGTTAAGTTTACCCTAGGGTAACCAGGAATCCCACTATAATGTATTTTCCCATAGGGGCCAATAGGGCCCAATAGGGCCCAATAGGGCCCTAACGACTTTTCCTCAGCTTTGGAGTCATTCTCTCGAAACCCAGATGGTGCGCATCCAATGATGATAAACGGCAGAACTTCTCAGGTTGGGGAATTATATATGTGGATTTATCACAACTTATCCAGAAGTATCATTGAATATATGTGCACTCTTTTTGTAACATCTGGGCTTTGTAGTTCTTGATTGTAGATATCTTTGATGTCTCTCGCAAACATGTACAGACAATAGAGACAGCACATGTATGCACCAACATATGTGTGAAGATCAGACAAAGGCGCAGAGGAAACAATTGTTCAGACATCTTCAGACAATATCTCTGTATATTTCATGCATATGTCACTACAGTGGAGCATCCAAAGTTCCACTACGCCCCAGGTGCTTTCTGACAGCGTCCAACTGCCGAAGGAAAAAACATGTGGGCCAGTGAGTCATGTTCTAGGAAGATATACGCCTTTCACATATAAATAGTTGTTAAATCTGTTTGAATGTGTCAATCACATCTCAACATTTGATTTCCCGACTTTGAGTGTGCACTGGCTTGCAGATTTGTGGAATCGAGAAGAAGTGACTGCTCCTTATGCGGAGGTTTTGGATGGATTTGGACTCCTACATCCGGATTCGGTGATTTTTCACACACAATTTGCCAGCATTTCAAATTAAAAGCAAAATTTGCAACCATGTCTTTCTCAAGCTTCAGCAACCCAAGAAGTCGAATCCAAAATCAGAAGCTTCCAGTCAACATCAACCATCTCTTGGTGGCATCTCAGAATCTCCTGGTAGATAGGATTTCTTCCAACGTGTCCAGGTCCCAGTTGACGAAGAGTCGGTCACCCCGGGCACCGAAACGCCGAAACGCCGAAACGTCTCGTCCCGTCGTCGTTCTGGCTCCAGCGTGGGGTGGGGTGCCAGGGTGTTGCGAGTGCTCATGGGTTTGCTGCGGCACGTAGGACCTCCAGGTGAGACAGGGAACAGCTAATCCAGTTCTGTTTGTTGCTTCATGACTCCTATGAACTATACTGGTTGGTGGTTTGGAACATGTTTTTTCCATAATATATGGGATGTCATCCTTCCCATTGACTAATATGTTTCAAGATGGTTAAAAGATAAAACCACCAACCAGTAAAGATATATGATATAATGACTAGAATTCTCATGAATTCTCCGCCAAAAAGTGTTTGGAAGGCAGTGTTTCAATTAGCTGTGGCCAAATGTTGGTTTCTGTTCCATCTTTAGATTTTGGCTTCGCCTGGCCTTTGCACCAGGTCAATGCCAAGCAAACTCTGAGCAATGTGAACAAGGACTTGCGGCAAAGTGGGGGAACCCCAGGGGATCCAAGGTAGCCGGAGCGACGGCCCCGGCAAAAGGTTGGCACATTGAAAGGGATACAGAAAAACAATGATGGTTAAATGGATTGTTTCATAAGCATGTAGATGATGGAATGTTCAAACATGTCGTTGAATCATGAAACAGTGGGTATGTTGACTTCTGAGGCATAGTGCTGACACTCTCAGGATCAAATCCTTGCATGCCCCTGAGTTGTTCATTCATGCTCCGGCCCACAGCATTTTGAGCCAAACTCAAACATGGTCAAAGTCACCGATTTCAACGCTGCAGAACTTTCGCAGTCTTGACAAGAAGCATTCAAATTAATGCCATCCACGTGCATTCATCTTGGTGTGTATATTATATTTAAATATAATATATATGATATATGTGTGTGTCTTAAACTGAAGAACGACAATCAAAATGATGGTTGAAAAGGTCAGTGAATTTTGTGCTCCTCTCCCCGGACAATTCCTCAACTTAGTCATCACAAAGCTCAAGTATTTTTTTAATGTCCATGTCAACCATATGTCAACCATTGCCCATGAGTTTCTCTCACTAAAGTGGACCTTCAAATCACCAAATGCCGACTCATGCTGGAACTGTCCCTTAATTTTCACCAATGCTTGCCCCAGGTTGTTCAGAGTTTCCCCTGAACATTATCCCAAAATCCACCTTAAAAATTCCGTTAAAATTCAAAATGTCCTACCAAAATCTTCAAACATCCACGAAAATCTCATGAAAGTCCCCAAAACCTCCACCAAAATCCCTATATGAACGGCCGTCGCCGAGGCTGGAGTCGTGGAGAAGGGACCCTGAACTTTGCCTCATTTGGGCCGCCTTTTGTACCTCATCGCCCTTGAGCTTGGCTGATGGCATTGCATTAGCGAAGACACGCAGGCAGATATTGGCAGATGGGGCAGATGGGATCCGTGAATGGCTGGCTTTTCGGATTTTCGGCTTCCCATGGATGAGTTTTCGAAGTAGGCGACATTGTAGGAAAATGTAAATTAGGAAATGGATGGACATGGGGAATGTCAATAGTATTCAATAGTTGTAATCATGGTTTACAATTTGTTTCGGGGGAACTGCGAAACAGTTTTCAGATCTTATTGGCTCGAGAAATGGCGCGGAATTGGGTCAAGCTGGGTTAATTGGATGATATGGCTGCAGCAGTCATGATATGATTATGAGTTGCTGTTGGTTTCACATCATCTAGCTCAATATGAGTTGGTTTCGCTGGACAACCTTCAGCCCCGCACCCCAAACTTGGTCAGTTCAGAAAATAACTGGTTCCCCACGTTCTAATGGTCATAAATGGCCACAAATGGCCATGAATTGGGTAGTAAAATTTGATCAGTCCTTGAGATACCCAAAGAATTTAGCGTCCATAAAGGACCACCTTGAGGAACGGTCCATGTTTTTTCCACAGCCATATCAGATTGTTGGCTGCATCCCGTTCTAAGTACATTCGCATACCATGGCTGGTGTCATAGCAGATTATAGCACCTGTTTTTTTGTTGGAGATACCCAAGCTCGGAAGTAACTGTTGCCTCAATAATATTTAATTTGCTTTGGGAGAACACAGCAGATTCTGTTGATGATCTAAGTGGTTTCGCGAATCGTGAAATGCGGAAACCGCTTCACGACAATATTGGGTTGAAGTGGTGGCCAAAACATGCTTTAAACAGTCACAGTGTTATTTCATTTGCCAGCCGCAGGAAGCTCTTTCTTTGAACCCATACCTGATCAAATATGGCTTGAATTCCCGAGCCACGTTTGAGGACACCGGTTGGCAAAGCCAGCCATGTTTGGGACACCGGCGAATCACCTATGATATTATCAACTAAGCTAAACATCATTTATCAATTACATATCCCCATGTTAATGGTTTAAGCATGTTTAAGCGCCAAAATAATAATTGATGGTTATCCCATGTGATCCCGATTATGTCTCATATCATGTGTCAAACATGTCAACAAAAATCACCAGGGCCGCCCCGTCTCAATCTCCTGAGGTCTGCACAGGAGGCATTGCAGCTGCTGACTGGTAAAGGCCAAGGGTTTCATGTACCATGGTTATAACGACCATGGCACATATGGGAACATTTTTCGGAATGATGATTGTTGGTGATTTCAAAAAAAGTGACTACCATTAATATAAGTTAAATTTAACCATATTTAATCTATTTGGATGGATATTTGAGCTTTTTGGATCATGCCAAAGGGTTTGTGACTGATTCATGGTGTATCTTCCATTCTAGGATGGCAAACAAAATGGGGCTCCATTTTGGTCAACACTCACTAGTGGAAGTGGGGGCTGAGGGCGGGCAAACAAAACATGAAACATGAGATAATGATTATGAATCTGTAAAATTGTCATTGTTTGAATTGTTTTTTCTTTGCCACAAACCTCAGCTTGGAATGAAGGTTGGTGGTCTCAATCTGGAAGACTGCAGGCCAAGAAATTCTACTTGGGAAGGAAAAAAAACAGACTGGGAAGTCTCGGAAGAAACCCAAACTGGGAAGTCTGGGAAAACTCCAGGCTGGTAAGTTCCGGGGAAACATACATCAGAAGTTTTCGGAAATCATTTGTTTGATTCGCAAATTGCTTGCATGGTCCGGTCCGAACCTTTGAGATCACATATCAAATCTTCATTTCCCAGATGTGGGTTTAACATCCAGAGAGTGAGGCAAAAAGTATCAACTAATCCACAGCTCTGTCACTGGGGGGGACAATCATATATTATCTAGACCTACCTAAAGACACTTTACACCCAGCAATGGCCGCTCAGTTTGCTCACCAAACATGGCTATGGGCTGCGCATCGTTGCGCTCTGGGCCGCACTTTCCGTCTGGAAACTCAGAGGGGGCTCCGAAAGCCAGTAACAAAACAGTGATTGATGTCATTGCATCTTGATGAACTTGAGTTTGAAAAAGTTGGCGCGGATTGGGCTTCATGGTCTTGATAGAGATTTTGACTGAATTTTACTTTGTTAGCGCGGCCGAAGCGCCGCTCAAAAAGTGATCAAGTGCTTCCCCCCCTTCTGTGTTCAGCCTGTGGGTTCATGTCCTGCTGAGTAAGTTATGGCTGGCAACTTCCTTGCCAACTTACCAGGCAACTTCTCTGGCGACATGATGCCCCCTCATGGCAACTTGATTGCATTTTGCCGAGTTGACTTTGCCTTGAATTTGATAGAATTTGTTTGCACACATTTGCATACTGTTGTTGGGAAAGGTCCTCGCTTTAGAACGCAAAGAAACGCATCGCTTTGGACCGCGCCGAAAAACATCATCATCATCGTCGAGATCGTCGTCATCATCACCATCACCACCATCATCATCATCACCATCATCATTATCATCATCACTAAAAGCACCAACATTTTCTTATATGCCATCATCATAATCATCATAATCATCATAATCATCATAATCATCATGGTCATGTTGATCATGATCATCATGGCCATCATGATCATCATGATCATCATTATCTTCTTCTTTTTGCCATTATCAGAATATGCATGGCAATGATCATGTTCATCATGAACACCATCACCAGCAACAACCACATATAGTTTGTTCAAATATATATATATATATGCATCAGCAACATCATCTTCATCGACATCATCGTACTCACCTTGATCATTATCTTCTTCGTCTTCTTCGCCATTTTCTTTGTCACCATCTTCTTATTTGTATTTTCATGATCATGATCATCATGAACATCATCACCAGCATCAACAACAATATATAGACATCATCATCGTCATCATCATCAACTACCGGGAAGGTGGGGGGAGTTCAGGCTTTTGCTGTCCTGCCTCCTTGTGGTTTTTTTGGGGTTGGCTTGCTTCTCTCCTTTGTCCGTTGTTTTGTCTTGCCGTGCTGCTTGCTTCCTCGCTCTCAATTGTGCTGGGACCTCGCTTGCTGTCCTTTTCTTTCCTGTCGGCCTCCGCTTGGCGGAAGTTATTCCGGGAAGGATGCCCAAGGCAAAAGACGAGTAAGAGCCCTTAGAGTGGGCTGAGTCAGTCCAAACTTTGACAGACAGCTGACATGATGATGTAAGTAGTATGTTTACCCCCAAATAAACCCTAAATGGCTTCTTCTGAAACCCCACCAACCCCCCCATTCTGAACCCCCTCCCCCAAATGAACCCTAAATGGCTGCTATGAGCATAAGGATGCCCAAAGCACGAGATGAGTAAGAGTCCTTGGAGTGGAATGAGTCGTTCCAAGCTTTGAAAGAAAGCTGAAATCATTATGTAAGTAGAATCTCCCCCCAAAACCCTAAATGGCTGGTTCTGTAAATGTCTGATTCTGAGCCCCCCCTCCCCCAAATAAACCCTAAATGGCTGCTGAGAGCATAAGGATGCCCAAAGCAAGAGAGGAGTAAGAGCCCTTGGAGTGGAATGAGTCGTTCCAACCTTTGAAAGAAAACTGAAACCATGATGTGACATGATGTAAGTAGAATGTTCCCTTTCCCAAACAAACCCTAAGTGGCTGGTTTTGATTCCCACCCCCCTCCCCCCCAAATAAACACTGAATGGCTAGGTAATTAGGCATAGTGAGTTCCAAGGTCAGAGAGTAAGAGCCATTGCAGTGGAATACATGATGTAAGCGGTAAATTTCTCATTGGCGTCTTTTTTTGGTACAGACATCAGATGTGTTCTGAAGTGATGTTTCAGATTGTGTTCTAAAGCTATCCAAAATGGCTGTGGTCTAAAGTGATGCTTTTCACTGTGTTCTAAAGTGATCCTTTTGTTCTTCGTTGTCTGGACTTGATTGCCTTGATTGCAGCTGATTGAATCTGAGTCTGTTTGACTGCCATGTGTTTTTTTCATATGGGCCATTATGGGCCTGCCGATTTTTTTAAATTCTTGCGCGGTTGCAAACTTGATTGTTTTTTTGTGAAATTTAGGCACTGCTGCCCCTGGCAATACCTCTTATGGAGATGCCACCGATGCTGCTGATGATGCCAAAGCTCATGTCGGTGATGCTGATGGAACTGCTCCAGGTTTGATGGATGCTGCCGATGCTCCGGACTTCATTCGTGCTGGTCCCGCCGCCTATGGCTATGATGCTGATGGTGGCGCTTGAAGGGTGGTATGCATTGGAACTGGGAGGCACACAGGCTCCACCAAATGCATAGAAATGCCTCTGCGTTTGGCGAGTGGGCCCCGCCCGCCGACCGGAGCGCAACCGAGTCGGTTGGTGCACCACCACCACCGCCGCCGGCACAGGCACGGAGGGGAAGTTTTCAAAGACACACACACACAACTTACTCACACACAATTTGCTCAGACACAACTCTCACACATCGCCTATATACTCCGTGAACGCTGGGGGTGATGGTATGGAGTGTTGTGGATTTGACTGCCGCAAAGCCTCGCAATGGGGTTTAGCGTTTCTGTGGACATATGGCCTGGATGACCTATGGCACCTTGAATGCAGTGGTGCCCTTGGTGTTCTTCCTGGTGCTGACATCTATGGCGATGATGCTACCTTGGCTGACCCTGGCTGGCCTTGGCAAAGGCAACAGCCAAGGCAATGTGGAGACCGTGGACCTGGTCGGAGATGATGCTGAGAAGGATTCCACAGCGGAGCAGTCCACCACAATTGCATCCTCTTCCACTCCCGAGGACTGCAAAGTTCAATAAAAGGACCGGATAACCCCACAAGTCAACTTCGTCCAATAATGAGCATCAAAGGTTGTAGCGGGGACGGGGAAGGAAGGAAAGACAAAGGAGGTGGTGAAGGATCGAGAAGTTAAAACAGTTGTGTGTGACAAAGTGGAATGTGATAGTTTGCACGCAAAAAGCTAGACGCATGCATTGCGCTAAACATGGTGTGTGTCAAGTTGTGTGTGTGACACAATTGTATGCGAAAGATAGTGCGTGATGCCGTGCGATACCATGCAGACAGCAGGTCGATGTCACCAAGTGCCACACCTGCCACGCAAATCGCAGATGAATGTCTCCAAGTGCCACGCCTGCCACGCAAAAAGATGGTGTATGACAACGTCGTGTGTGCCACGCCTGCGACGCAAAACCAAAGTGGATGTCTCCAAGTGCACGCCTGCCACGCAAATGGCATGCCGTTGGATGTCTCCAAGTGCCACACCTGCCACGCAAATAGCAGATGAATGTCTCCAAGTGCCACGCCTGCCACGCAGAACGACGGTGAATGTTGCGTTGTGCCACACCTGCCAAGCAGAGTGCCGCGGCGTCACCGGCGACCAAGCCCGCCCAAGCGCGCCACCAGAGCCAGCCCAGTGCCATAAGTGCCACGCCTACCACGCAAAACCAAGGTAGAAAGGTAGATGCCTACAAGTGCCACGCCTGCCACGTGAAACGAAGGTGGATGTCGCCAAGTGCCACGCCTGCCACGTGAAACGAAGGTGGATGTCGCCAAGTGCCACGCCTGCCACGCAAAGAGAAGAGTGCCGCGGCTGCCACGCAAGATGAAGGTGGATGTCACCAAGTGCCACGCCTGCCCAGCAAAGTGCCGCGGCGTCACCGGCAACCAAGCCCGCCCAAGCACGCCACCAGAGCCAGCCCAGAGTCAGCCCAGTGCCGTAAGTGCCATAAGTGCCACGCCTGCCACGCCTGCCACGCAAAACCAAGGTAGATGCCTCCAAGTGCCACGCCTGCCACGTGAAACGAAGGTGGATGTCGCCAAGTGCCACGCCTGCCACGAAAAAAAAATGTGTAAAAGATGGTGTATGACAACGTTATGTGTGCCACGCCTGCGACGCAAAACCAAAGTGGATGTCTCCAAGTGCACGCCTGCCATGTAAATGGCATGCCGTTAGATGTCTCCAAGTGCCACACCTGCCACGCAAATAGCAAATGAATGTCTCCAAGTGCCACGCCTGCCACGCAGAACGACGGTGAATGTTGCGTTGTGCCACACCTGCCAAGCAGAGTGCCGCAGCTGCCACGCAAGATGAAGGTGGATGTCACCAAGTGCCACGCCTGCCACGCAAAGCGAAGACACCTGCCACTCAAAGTGCCGCGGCGTCACCGGCGACCAAGCCCACCCAAGCACGCCACCAGAGCCAGCCCAGAGCCAGCCCAGTGCCATAAGTGCCACGCCTGCCACGCAAAACCAAAGTAGATGCCTCCAAGTGCCACGCCTGCCACGTGAAACGAAGGTGGATGTCGCCAAGTGAACATGCGGTTGGGTTGGAGGAGCTCACCAGCGGTGGCAGGATGTGCACAGCCCCACCATGGCTCCAACCTTGTCATGCGCGACCGGCCTGGATGCGGACTCGCCAAGTCAACAGGTTCATGGCTCGCCCGGTTCCTTGGAATGAGAGTTTTGACAGTGCATTTCTTGGCACCGTGACGGAGACCGATGTTTTGGCATCTGGTTTTGGTGGTGTTGTCCGTGCTGGCTACGTCAGCGAACACCAAGTGGCTTCCAAAGAAATGCACCGGGATGACGCTGATGAAGAGCTGTTTAAGGAGGTCTATGTGGGCTTGTTAGTGCCAGCATCGCCCTGCATGGGCTTTGCCGTGACAGAGGGGGGTGCCCCGAGGTTGATCTCCGCACGGCTTCCCGAGAACGTGGCGGAATTTTTGGCCAGGTCCGGCTGGGAATTTGAGACGTGCCTGCAGCTAGCCATTGGAATGCTCGAGAGTGTGGAGCACCTGGCACACTTGGGTTTGGTTCACTGCGACATCAAACCCAACTATTTCATGCTGGATGACCAACGCAATGCGTTCATTATTGATTTTGGCTCCGTTTCTGTGGGGGGCGACGTGCCGCCCATGACTTGTCAGCAGTACTGCCCGCCAGATTCTGTAGTCACCTCGGTGTGGGATGTCTTTAGCCTTGGGGTCGTCTTTTCCGAGATGCCACGCCTGCCACGCAAAGAGCAGAGTGCCGCGGCTGCCACGCAAGATGAAGGTGGATGTCACCAAGTGCCACGCCTGTCACGCAAAGTGCCGCGGCGTCACCGGCGACCAAGCCCGCCCAAGCGCGCCAACCAGTGCCATAAATGCCACGCCTGCCACGCAAAACGAAGGCGCCTGTATGTGAAAGTTGGTGTGTTTGACAAAGTTGTGTGTGAAAGTTGGCGTGTGTGAAAGTTTGTGTGTGACAAAGTGTTGTGTGACAAAGTTGTGTTGAAAGATGGTGTGTGACAAAGTTGTGTGTGAAAGATGGTGTGTGACAAAGTGTTGTGTGACAAAGTTGTGTTGAAAGATGGTGTGTGACAAAGTTGGGTGTGAAAGTTGGTGTGTGACAAAGTTGTGTGTCAAAGAAAGTGTGAGAGTTGTTGGTGTTCAAAGTTGTGTCAAAGAAAGTGTGAAAGTTGTTGGTGTTGTGAAAGTTGGTGTGTGACAAAGTTGTGTGTCAAAGAAAGTGTGAAAGTTGTTGGTGTTCAAAGTTGTGTCAAAGAAAGTGTGAAAGTTGTTGCTGTTCAAAGTTGGTGTGTGACAAAGTTGTGTGTGAAAGTTGGTGTGTGACAAAGTTGTGTGTGAAAGATGGTATGTGACAAGATGGTATGTGACAAAGATGGTATGTGACAGATGTTGTGTGAAAGATGGTGCGTCACAAAGTTGTGTGTGAAAGATGGTATGTGACAAAGATGGTGTGTGACAGGCGGGAGGCGGGAGGAGGTGGGAGGCGACCTGGGATACAGAATCAAAAACAAGAACCCCACACAAAGTTGTGGGGAAAAAAAGAAAGTTAGTTAGTGGCAAAGGTTCAACTCTATGTTCAAGTTAGTTAGTGGCAAATACTGGCAATTTGTTTCCCAGGACAACAAGACTATCATCATGATCCAAGAGGCGAAGAAGCGCAAAGTGAGGCTCGCTGTCTTTTAGAGGAAGCAGATCACATTGCAATCACAACCTGTGATGATACTTAGTATCTCCACCCCATCAAACACTTTATGTAATGGTGATGATACAACCGGGGTCAGCTTCCAACCCTCACCTTTGATCCAAGGCTTATCTTCTGGTTAGTCTGATGGTTTTTGGCCTGTGTAATTTGCAACCATCATCAAATCCTTTTCCAAGTGGTGTGTTGCTGCTTTCTTTGATATTTTTAATTCGCCCTACCGGAACCTCCTTGAAGAGGTCACACCGTTGGCCAGCTGTGTGACTGGAAGCTTGCCTTGGGGCCAACATACCACCTGTAGCAATAAAGCAGGTGGTGAATGAGAGTAGGGCACATGGGCTAGAGTGCCTGCTCGGGCAAACCTGGCTACGCAACTTGTGGCATTGCTGCATGGGTACCCCTGGCATTGCTTCCAAGTTGCAGAACCGGGGGTTCCGAGAAAGGGAGGCCATTGGTTTCACTCAAAGACATCTTTACTGGTCGCGGCTTGCGTGCCATCCGGGAATGAACATAGTATAATTGAATCACTTTGGCATGATCCAATGGACCCAAATATCCATCCAAATAGGTTAAATTTGACTTCAATATGTTGATTGGTATTGATGAGTTTGCGATTTACAGGTCTGTGGTGATTATACACCCATGGAGAATCCACCATAGATACCGCCTGTCCCCATGGTGCACTCAATGAAACTCAACCAGGGTCGAATGCGCTACACTTGAATCCCACTCATCAGATTTTAATCCCACAACATCCTGAGGTTTTATTCCAACCCGTTACTGCTTCGATATGTTTTCATCTTATTCGTTTCCAACCTTTCCCGTTCTATTCCTCCATCCTTCACAAGCCCTGAAAAGACCTGAGTATGAAATTCATCCAAGTGACTTTCATCATTCCTCATACGTCATATTTTTAAAAACCCTCAAGTGCCCACTTCAAACACCGGCGCCCCTGGGCCCCCAGAGCTCCTTGGTTATTCCATCGGACTCCAGGCGGCCTTTCAAGTGCTGCCACGGGCAGCAACTTCTTCCATGGATATCGTGGCGAGGTGGGCTGGCCATCGTTATGGTTACCATTATTTTAACCGGTTCGCTGTGGTTAGTAAATGGTTTCAATTCCATGTAGATCCGAACACTGTGAGAAAAAGTGCGGGGTAATGTGTCCACTTTCTCACTGGCAAGTAACTAGTGGGTTACAACATCTTACAACCATTTACAACCCACATATTGATCAAAAGAACTCCATGGCC